GTGCTGTGGGCAGCAGGAACAGCAAGGGGCTGCTCATTTCCAGTATCAGCAGCTGCAGACTTCCCTGCATGCCACCAGACAGGGAAATCCTCCAAAAAGCTGAAGAGGCTGCTAGCAACGACCGAGACAAAACTCACAGCCAAGACAGAAACCAACACCAAAGGGAAGTACTGGAGAGACAAGTGGGAAGCTGAACTTCATTGCTAGAAAGGCAGCCCAGGCAGCTACAACAGCTTCTTTTGAAATGCTTCTAGTTTCACACACATGACCAGCTGGGACGTGGCAAGCTGTAGGGATCCAGGAGTACTGACTTAAAACTGAAATTAAGAAAAAAAAATAAATAAAGAGAGAGAAAGAGACTTTAAAGGCACAGAGACCTATGGGTCAAGGGAACAGCTTCTGCACAAAGTTGCAGAAGTTGCACCTAAAAGACAGCACCCAAATCACAGCCAGTCTAGCACCGGCACAGGAAACAAATGCTGTTCAGTGGCAGGACAGAAATGACAGGAACTTCTGGGCAATAGTCCCAAAAGAGAATTCTTGACATCAAAAGGATGTTAGATTATGTGGGGTTGAAATGAAGCCATAGCAGACAAAAAGCAAAGCCGAGACAGCCCTACCCATTATGGACCTTCTGAAGCAGAAAACGTGACCAATGAAGAGACCATCGGTGGGACACAGGGGAAGAGGACAAGATGAGTTGGCACTAAAGCCATGTAATTCAGTAACCTCCAGCAGGACAAGCCACGGGGTGCAGTGTAACCCACGTGTCAGTATTTGTGTGGATACAAATCCCAAATCACATAATTTGCAGCACGGATTTATACTTCTGGTTGTTTCCAGCTCAGGAAAGGGCTGGATGCACAAGCTGCGGTGGTGTCTTTGATCTGGGCCATCTAATTAAAAACTACCAGCGAGGAGCTCCTGCTGGTAAGGGAGGGAAACATCACGGTGGAGAAGCCATTGGTTGGTATCTCTGAGGCTGCTCTCCTAAACGGCTGCAGCGTGCAACAGCTACACTAGACTATAATTGAGCTGCTAAAATATGTTTTTAATATAATTAACAGGTCAAGAGATTTCAGCAAAGAGACTACTCCTGCACTGTTGTTTGGCTTTCAGTACAGCACAGGTGGAGAAACCTCATCTTGTAAATCCTTTGTGGAGCCAAGCTGCAGCTACCACAGGAACGAATTTTGAAGAGAAAATAAATGAAACGGCTAATTAAAATGCATGCACATCTGGACTGCTGTGGAAGAAGGACACTGAGAAACTGGACAGAGTCCAGCACAAGGCCACTAAGGTGGTGAGGAGCCTGGAGCACAGCATAGACTGAGGGAGCTGGGCTTGTTAAGCCTGGAGAAAAGATGCTGAAGGAGGTATTTAGCAGCTCCCCGAGACTACACCGAGCGGGACTCGGGAGGTTGAGAGCCAGATTCCTCTTTGTGGGACACAGCAAAAGGACAAGAGGCAACAAGCACAGCTGGCAGCAAGGGAAATTCAAATTAGGTAGCAGGAAAAATTGCACACGCATTCCCCCCCAAGGGCAGCTCAGCAATTGCCACAGGTGCCCAGCGAGGCTGAGGACACCTCCGCTTTGGGAGATGTTTGGGGCTCACCTGAACGAGGCTCTGAGCAGCCTGACCCAGCTTTGGGGTCAGTTCTGCTGCGAGCAGGGGCTTGGACGAGGTGATCTAGGGGCCAAAATGGGAGTTGACGGAACGGCAGAGCGAGAGGTTATGTGTAGAGCTTCTTTCCACCCTGCACTCCCTAGGCCTCTGCTTGCAGCTACTTGTAGAGGCAACCATCAAATTAATAACAAATCTAGTATTAGTTTACAACCTGCTCCCTGCCCATTTTTATTGGTTGTATTAAAGAAAGAGAAATCAATGACTGACTGACTCCTATTCACCCCCTCCAAGCTGACCACTATTTATAGGCCCGTAATGCCCATTTCCTTCCTCAGCTTTTTCCCAGGCTGAAGAATCCAGCCCCATTTAGGTGTTCTTCATACAGAGCTTTTCTACACCTCTGACCATGTTTGCTCTCCCTCTCTGAGATGTTTCCAAATTAGTTGTATGGTTTTTGGAGATCAGGGTGAAGGGTGGCACAGAACTGCAGTGTTCAAGATGCTGGTGAGACAGGGACATAAATATAGAGACACACATAGAAATAATTTCTGCTATTTGTTCACAACAACCAAGCAACATTTGCATGGACTTACATATGGTGACAGTCTTACTCCAGAGAGCTTAGTTCATAGTTCACTGTTTTATATGTAAATTTTGAACTTTTATTCTCCATGAACATTGTTTTACATATGCCTGTATTTAATGTCACCTCCTGTTCCATTGCCCACTCATTCACTATCATAAGGTCTTTCTGCCTTCACTCACAGTCAGCTCCCACCCTATTATCCCAAATAACTTTCTACTATCAGCCCATTTACTCACGTTGCCATCCAAGCTCTATTTCCAGGTCATTTGGGACAATTTCAGGCTAGGCTCCTGTGATCAGACCACTTTTTGCTGTAAAACTTCTCTCTGCTGTAAAAGCTAGATGTTTATTCCCACCTTCCATTTCCTATTTTCTACTAATTCTTTACCCAAGAAAACCATTATATGCTTTCTTATGCTATGACTTTAGCTTTCTTTAAAGACTTTGATGGGAAAGTATTCTCAATTTTTTTTTAAATCCAAGGAAACTATCAGCCAGACCTCCCTTACCCACAAGCTTGCTAAGTCCCTCATAAAACTCCAGTTTTACAAGACAAGATTTGCCTTTACAAAACCAGGTGCTGACTCTTCAATATCACGCTCATTGCTTTCTGTTATACTGCCTACCTCCTTGCCCAGATATCAACTTTATTGGTCTGTGCTTCTCTCGCATTTGGGGGATCTCATTTGGAGCCCATTTTGAGGATCAGCATTGCATTTGTCACTTCCAATTCTCAGCACTGAGATTATTTTAGACAGGAAGACAAAACTGCATCATACTTCAGCTGTTAGTGCTGACCTTAAGACTGAAGGCAACCTGGGCTTGGGGAATGGGCAGATGGACCATTCCTGTGGCCTGCCCAAGCCAGATGCCCTCTGTCAAGCCATGGGACCCCAGGACAGTGCTGGACCATTGTGGTTGCCCAGATCCTTGCCATAGACTAAGACACCTGTCTAGCCTGACTGTGAAGAGTTTGCGGCCTGCTGTGTCAAAAAGGGCTCAAAATACTGTAGCACATCAAGAAATAACCAGGATCAAGGTCAGCAAACCAAGAAATAACTGGGATTAAGGTACCTCTCTCTGTACAAGAATATCTGGAGGTGCTCCCACTGTGGGGCTGACAGAGTAACTGTAGGGGCTGGGCATCGCAAACCCTGCTTGCTCTTTATCAAAAGTGAGAAAGAACAATGGTGACAGCAACAGCAACCTAAGCCACTGGGAACTCCATTTCTCTGGCTATGCTGTAGCTCCTAGCAGAAGGTGGGGTTATTTCCCTCTGGGCCTGATTCCTCCTGGCAGCAGTTTTATTTTTCTCACCAACAACTCTTGTTTTCTTCCCCTATTATCCACAGCACTCACCCACAGGACGGCATCAGGATCTTGACTCTCAGATCCCCACTGATGGGGCACTGACAGCAGCAGGCAGAGAAAGTGCCACAGCCCTCGACCAGGGAGTCCTACTAAAGAAAATAAAGCAACGCTGAAATTACCAAGACAGTGTCTTTAGACAGACTTGAGAGAGAGATCAAAGACCTTGGCAGAGGAGGGGTGGACTCTTGCCCTCCTGACAGGGCTGGATGCTCATGCCAGTGAGCATCAGGGCTCTGGAGGAGCAGCTGGCAGCGCCTTGGGGCTGCAGCACCTCCCGTGACTCACCTGCGTCCGATCCGCACAGGCCCAGTCCGCAACCCCGCCTGTTCCTGGGCAAACTAAGGAGAAGGTGGCTCCAGGTCAGGCAAACCACAGGCCTCAAGCAGAGGGCTTCATTTTCACCATTTGCAAAGCACTTCCTGGGCTGCAGTTAATGAATAATCAGAGGGGTGGGGGGAAGGCCAAGGCCAAGCTGAGAGAGGTGGATGGAGACGGAAGGTACTGACTGCTCTTCCTGCCTCCTTTTCGTGAAGTTCACGCCCTCGCTGGCTGCATTCCTGCCTGGTTTGTAACCGAAAGGCACGGGAGGCAAAACCGGACGCAGCTCTCTCACACCTGGCTCGCAGCTCCCCGCTCTCCTGGCCCGGCTTCTTCACCCCCAGCCCTGCCACCCTGGTCCCTATCGCCCTCCCCAAAGACCTCAACGCTTCTGAAGGCAACAGGCCCACACAGCAGGAGGCTTCAAGCAGACACAGCCAATGCCCCTTTGTTTGAGCCAAGTTGGAAACACAAAAGCTCACACTGGAGCAGGGCTGCTCCATCAGATTTGTCTTCAGTCCCAGAAGAAGTGAGATAGTTTTACAACATTTACATTGTTCCAACCCAGGCTGCAGCCAGATGGGGCAGGCCCAGCCTTCCCACACTGTGCCACTGTTCCCACACGTGTGCCACTGCTGCATCTCTCTGTCACCTTTTTCATTAGGGCCAACGCGTTCAATAGCACATTCAGCCCAAAAACAACACGGCCACAGGCACTGGTGGTCAGAGCAGGTCAGCTGCACTGACCCTGCTGGAGACTGAACTCTCAGCAGCATTTATAGCACTAGATTGTGTTTAGGGACACACCACCTAGTACGTTTCAAATAGCACTTTTGTAAATGCTTGCTCCTAGACAGGGCTGAGCACCTGAAATGTTAAAAAAAGAAAAAAGTAATTTCTATATCAAGTCCTAGGGCTTCACACCAAAGCTTGCAGGAGCAATTACCTTTGTGGTAGAACTTGGTATATACCAGGCCCCCCCAGAACACTGGCACAGGCTTCATCAGGCGTGAGGTACGCACTCTTCTGCACCAGGGAGAGGTATTTGCACCTGAGGAGCACCGCTGAGCTCACATTCAGTCATAAAACAAGGGCATTTTCCAGACACTTTTTATTCATGAGCAGACACACAAGCACACACAGAGCAGCCCGTTCCTCTCAGGTCAGTGTCTCCCTTGGTCATTCACCCCATTCCTAGGGCTGACAGGGCCTGCACTTTGGGAGGGTGGCCCTGGCCAGGGCAGGAATGGTCCACGGTCTCAAGATGCTGCCACTCCACCGGTCCCAGCCCCGTGGGGCGGCAGCGTCATGGGTGGCAGGAACATGGCCTTCAGCTTGCCCGACATGCTGGCGATCTCTGGGTCCTGCGACTCGTAGGACTTGATCAGTCGGGCAAACTTCAGGACCCCTGGAAGAAAAGGGGTGGGAAGGGGGCTCCAACCCACTGTCATCACCCTCTCAGCAGGCCCGGAGCTCCCCAGCGCTGGAGTGCGGGGGGTCACAACCCACCTTCACCGTCGTTGCTGAAGCCGTAAGCTTTGATCACGTCCTGCTGGATCTGGGTGGCCACGGGCAGCAGGAACTGCAGCATCTTGCCCATGTCATTGCAGGCGTTGTCCCGGGCCTCCTCCATCCGCTGCGCGTTCTCGGGCGCCCCGAAAGCCTTGATCCCCTCCGCCAGCACCGCTGCGG